AAAAAATGATCCAGTTTTGGTAGTCCTTTTTGGCCTTCTACTGATCACGTAATCCAGATCGTAATCAAGAGATGGCAGGAAGACAGTTTTAATATGAAGCAGGGTTTTTTGTTGCAGTTTGATTAGGACAAGCTAACAAAGGTACTTAAATGGGTTTAGTGAAAAAAGACTAAAATAAACTCTTCAGCAACAATTAACCCTTTAGTACAAGGCAGATCTTACTCATCTGCATCTGTGTTGGGCCCCTACAGATCATTAAAGACCAAAACGTGACTCTAAAGAAATCCTTGCCCTCGTACAGCACTGGAGAATCTTTGATAGGAGCTCCTCAGAAAACAAGCAAGAGATCCTTTACATTTTAAGAAGTCAGTTTAATGACACAAAACAAAACACACCAGTTAACATCAGTGACCCCACTGAACGAGACATGTAGCATGAAAAATCCTCTGACCTCATCCAAACAGCAGCCTTTTCAAACATTTAATCAAACAGCGACATGCTGCATGAGTTTTAGCAGCAGCCGTAGGTCATCTGCATCAACCTTTACAAACATTCAAAAACAGCTGCTGGATGAATTTTGTTTCACTGTAATACTGTTTCAGAAGCAAAAACAATGTTGTGAAAAATGCACCGCAGGAAGGCCACTCAAACAAGTTCAATAATCATTTGCTTATATTAAAAAAGTAGGTCAGCATGACTTTCATCATAACGAGTCTCATCACCACAGCTGCAGTGCTTCAGGCTGTTAGAGCGGTTGAGCGTAGTGGTTATGGCTTCAATTTAAAAAAACATAAAATAAAAAGTCAATGGAGCAAAAATGCATATTTAAAAACAATGGCTTTGAGACATTTTGAATTTGTAGTGTCATTTTTCTCTACACTTTATATTAATTTGAGGGGAAAATGCCTCTGAAGGAGACTTTTAAATCTAATTTCTACATGTGTCCCACAGCTGCATAAGACAGTATTTAAAACATAAGCTTAAGTCTAACCTTAACCATGTGTTTGAGACATCCATCCTCCATCAAACCAGAATTATTTGCCATAAACAGATTTTTATTTTAACCATCTGTCTGTCAGGAACTTGCATTTACCTCATACAGAGAGAAGCAGCAGATTTAGACCTGCTGTAAAAAAGCAGATTATATCTAGGAGTATCTTAAGAATAGGGTGACCAGGTCATTTAAATTTCGTCTCCCTTCTTCCACATTTTGAGACACTCTCCACATAGTTTGTTAAAGTTTACTAAAGTAAGCACGTGTTTCAGAGGAAACGTGTCTAAAAACCTTTCTGCTTATCAGACAGAACAGCAGTTTTAACACAAGGAAACACGACACAAGATCACAGAAATAAACATCAGCTTCAATTTATGCTTCTCAAAATCAGGGGAAATGCATTCAAATGACATGTCACATGATCGAAGTCAAACATGTGACCTAAAACTAAACATTTTTATCTTAACGTAGTTTACTGGGATCTGGCCACCCTACACGACACTTAAGTACTGACGATAAACACAATGTTTAAAAATTAAATATCATGTTAATAATGCTAAATGATAATATTGTAAATAATGGTGTAACTGTTTGTAGTTCAGCGTCTCACTGCACTATTTTGATTTTAATCAACTTCTTTCTTATAATTTTTGCAAATTTACAGAATAACTTAAAACTTCATTATTGCTACTTTTTCATATAAATACTCTTAGATTTCATCTCTTTATTTGTACATAATTTGGGTTTTTTGATGGCATGATGTTCCAGTCTCTTATCACACCTCTGTTGGTAAGAGACTTGTATCTTTTGGAGAAAAATCTACAAATTCAAGATGTCCCTGTGCCTCCAGGGCAGTGTAAATATTCTCGTAAAAGCTATTCATCGCTGCAGTGGTGTCACTATAGTTAATAATTAGCAAAGACATCTGTTTGAATAGCAAAATAATTCTCATACATCCTCATATGTGGGCGAACATTTTACTTTACAGCTTTATGTACAAAAAAAACTCCTCAGCTGCTACACTGTGGAATAAGAATAGCCCTCCATTAAAACATTGAAAGTTGTAAAATATTACTTTTTTTTTAATACAAATATAAATTTTGCATGGTTGCCCAACAACCAGATGTCACAGGTTTATCCAACCAGTAGATTTTTTTTTGTCTTTACAGTTGTCTGCTCAATAAAAAAGGCAAAATTCAAAGCATTTATAAAACAGCTGTTACATGATGGCAGGAAAACAAATCCACAAGCTTGCAAGTCCATTCAATGTTCCGATGATGTACAACGCAAACATAAAACAACTGTATGTGCCGACGTATGTAATCTCTTTCAGAAAAATTAGAGCGAGGCATATCAATTTGTTTTCTGAAAAATCAAACTGCCAAGTTGTTAAACCATTATTGCTTCTACGTTTTAGAAAATGTACAGAAATCTTTGAAATATCACAGATCATAGTGATGCAATCATAAAATTCAACATTTAGCAGGCTTTCTTCATTTCCATGTTTAATCATCGTGTGCTATGAAGGAGCTCTTGTTGCAGCTTGACTTTTAATATAAATTTTTAGCTTTATATCGATTTCTGCACAAAGCTTTTCATTTTGTAAATATGGGCTCTAAATAATCTGCCAGGTTAACTAAAGGTTACACTGACTCACTGCACCATCTTGTGATATAAAGTGGTATTACATAAAGGGCAGCCAGTTGAGATCTCTTTAGTCAAAGTATTTTTTGTTCGCAATGTCTTCGATAGCTTTAACTCATTTTGAAAGGTCTGAGGCAAAACAAGCAAACAAACAAAAAGTCTCACAATAATTTAAACCTCCTAAAATTAAATATAATGTGAAGAATCAGCATCTGTGTATTATCCTGGGCAACCATGTCCACTATTATACATAGAAAGTTCATTGTTTGTTAGTCATTAGAATGAACACATTTTAAAGCACAGCAGTGCCATTTTTGAAAGCTCCACCCCCTCCCCAGCCATCTATCCATTTTCTGCCTCTTTTTTGGAACCAGCTCACAGGGCCAGCAGCCTCAGCAGAGTAATCTAAAACTCCCTGTCACCAGCACTTCTGGGGAGACAAGTGTTCACAAGCCAGCTGAGAGACAATCTCTCCAGCGTGTCCTAGTTTGCACTGAGACCTCCTTCCAGTAGGACATGCCAAAGACGCCTCATCTAGGAGGTGCTCTGGAGGCATCTTACACCGATGAACCACCACAACTGCCTCCTTTCTATGTAGAGAAGAGCTGCTCTACTCTGACCAAGCTTCGCACCCTATAGCAAACTTCAGAGGAAGCTCACAGCTTGTATCTGCAGCCATCACTCAGTACTCACAACAGTGAGGGTAGAAATGTAGATAAGCAGCTTCAGTTTAACACCCAGTACCACAGCTGACTCCACACAAATCTGTTTGCCCAGCTCTGCTTCCACTCCACCCTCACTCCTGAACAAGAACACACAAAAACCCTCCAATTCAGGTAGCAACTTATTCCCAACCCACATGGGGCACTCCACCCTTACTGAGTCTCAGACTTCGTGTCATCCAAACTGCTCTACAATCAAGAATTTTTTTGTCAGGTGAATAAAACAGAACAGCTTCTTTTTATCTTTATACAAGTTGATGATAATTTTCAGGAAAAAACTAAACTAAATATAGAAAATAAACCTTTTTAAAATCAAAACAACTGACAGTTTATTTCAGTTCATAGCAAGGACTTGAAAGTGCATTAAAATAATTGCTTAAAAGAGTTGTTTTGGCTTTTAAAAAGTTTATTTTTCTATGAACGATCTCGAGCGGAAACGGATACGGTTTGATCCTGCGATGAGAAACAAACGTTTAAGAATTGCGCTGAATTGAAAGAGTAAACAGCTTTAAAAATGCCAAATCAAACATGTGGCGCCAACTGCTGCGGTGATCCCCCACTTTTATGACCCAGAGCCTTCCTTTCTTTCCAGAAAGAAAGGAAGGCTCAAGCTTCAGTATTTCACAATAAAAGTCCATTCCACCATTTTAAAATTTTTTAAAAATATACGAAATTAGAATATACTTCAAGTAAAAGTGTTAAAATGGCCAAATAACTTCTAAGAACAATTTGTAAACCCTTTAAAATTGAAGTCAATAAGATACAGGAATTACCTGATTGTGACAGTGACACTAATCAGGAGAAAAGAAGAAAGTTCACAAACAACACGCAGAAAGTCAATCTCTCATTATTACCGATTATCATAAAACAATAATTATCGCTAGAAATCAAACTTTGGGGTCTAGCTCATATTTTTTGGGGTCCTCTCATTCATTCAAATGAAAACCTTTTTTTCCTTTTCATTTAAAATAAAAAATAAAAACCCCGAACAGATATCTTATAAATTTGCATTTCTGCAAGTATTTTTCAAATGATCTATTTTTCTTTCTTGGTGGATACGGGCCTGTCGGAGGAGATTCTACATGATTTTACACAAGAGTGACACAAAACTTCAGATGTTAAAAGAACAAAGCAAAGCAAACAACAACAGAAAAACAAACAAATATAAAGACCATTCTGAATTTCATTTTGATAGGTCATGTAACGATCATGTGACATGGATAAAAAAAGATGACTGGCTCCTGCAGAGAGTTATTGCAGGGGTCGCTGGTGGTTAGTGCTGTGTGTGTGTGTTTTAGTAACATCACATTATAAAGCACTGCTTGGCTCAGCTTGTTTGCATAAAGGTGTGAGAAGGGCACACTGGTCCAATTATGGATGAAGTGCACTTCTTCGGGAAACTTTTTACATTTCCAGATTTTGTTCAGTTAGACTGCAGCGACCCACCATCAATGTTTAAAAACAAACAAACAAAAAAAAATGTTAAGGAGGTAAAAACGTCCAGGGTCAAAGGTCAGTAAAAGTCATCTTCTTGTTGCTTGCGCACGCAGCCTCAGACTGTTCAGAAAATGCTATCAGGATCGAGCCCTCCAGGCTTTCTTCATGTAGTAATGTAGCAGTGATTAAAAAAAAAAAAAAAAAAAAAAAAAAAAAAAAAAAAGTAGCACTTTCTAAACACTTCCTGGTCGATCCTGGTTTGACTGGTCATCTTAAAAAAAAAAAAAAAATACCCACATGATCACTGACATGCTGTTTAGTCTGACTCATTGAGAGCTGGCACCCAAGTATGTGCTTTCCATCTTAGACCAGAGCAGATTTAAACTGGCACCCAGTCTGAGTGAAAGGGTCCACATCACCCTCACCTTGGAAACCGACTGGGAGGAGAGCCACCAAGCCCCCCCACCCAAAACTTTAAAACAAGCTTTAACTGGGGGTTAGTGTTGCAGCCTGCAGGGTTAGAGGTCAGAGCGTGGTGGGCTTGTGAAGGATGCCCTGCAGGTCCTCTGGTAAGGTCAGGATGACACCCTCGATATGGGCTCTCAGCTTCTCCAAGGTCCCGGGATGCACTGGTAACTTCTCCCTCTCCGCCTGAGTCTGCAGCAAAGAGCACAGTGAGACAAAAATGCTTCATTCAACAGGCTGAAGATGCAGCAGATGCAAGATACCAGGTGCATCAGCAGGGATTACTAACAAGCACAGCCATGTATGCTGTGTCAGTAAAAGTAAAGTAAAAGAAGGAGGAATTCAAGGCAGGGAGAAATTTTTTATTTTTTTTTATTTTTATTTTTTTTTTTAATTTGATGGACCTTGAGTTGAAGGTCATCTGCCCGAGAAAGAAGATGACCTTTAACCTGTCATCCTCCTGGGCGTGTTCAGGCAGCTTCCAGTGCCTGCATCCTGTTCTGACCATTTGCACTGTGTGTTTTGCAATTTCAGACACAGCTCAAACTTTACAGAGAATAAAGATCAATTTCTGCTTCAAGTGAACCTGAATGTCATGTTTTAAATCAGTTTTAAACTGCACAGCTCCCAGACCTGAAAGAAGCTGGGTTCCCACAGCTTAAGCCCGGTTAGATTTAAGACTTTGGCACTCCTCCTAAATTTATTTTAGTTTTTTTTAAAAAGGCTTGTAATCATGAATGATGTCAGTTCTTCATTTCTTATGATACATCCATCGACCCATCCATGCAACACATAAAAAAAAGTTCTATGCTACGCACTCACTTCACTGCCTTATAAAACACTAGCACACACTTTAATCCAACAGATAAACCGGTCATGTTGCCTATGGTTCAGATTCAGTGCAGTTTTACAGTAGCTGAAGTTTCTCCCAGATATTCACATACTTATTTAGCTTACTTAGCACCATGTTAGCATCACTTAACTCCTCCCAATAAATGACACCCCAGCCAGAAGACCTGTAGCCAGTGCAGTAATTATGGTGGATGTGCAGCATGTTGACACTGCACTGAATATTTAATGTAAAACAAAAAACCTAGTTTGGGGTGTATGTCATGTGTGTGCTGACTGAGAATGAACAGATAATGCAGGCACATTTTGGTTTTGATTTTTATTGGTCCGTGCCCAAAACCTTTTGACCTCAACATCTATTAACTTTGCAAGAAAAGAGAAAAGCTACAGGACTATTAGCTGTTGTGCTAGTAGCAGAGCCGTAGTTTAGCAGTAAAAGTACAGGAGGTTTTAGTAGAGGCAGTAATATTAAAGTTATAGACCATGAATCATCTTTACAGACCAGTTTGTCTTTCAGCTTCAGGACCAGATCGACTGTCTCCACCTCTGTGTGCTTCTGGATTCTCTTCTGGAGATCCTGCAGAAGAACAAATGACATGGAGATCGATAAAGGTGTCTGGGACTCAATTCAAGGGTACTCATTACATTTTATGACTCAATTCAACACTGATATTGTTGAATTGAGTCGATGTTGACTGATGGCCATTAAGATATACAGAGCTTTAGCCAATGGCATCACTTAACTACTTTCTAACATCCCATCTATGTAAAAACAGAAAATAATAATAATTATGCTCAACTTTATGGTCAGAGAGCCAAAGCCTCAGACCACTCTAAACACAGTTAGTTTAATCTTGAATTTGTATGATGCTTTGGATATTGCCTTTTCATGGTCCCTCAAGTTCCACCCACCTGCTGTTCAAACCTTGAGGAGCCAATCAGAAGTTAACTTAAAAGCATAAAACACTAAAATAATGTTTCAGACAGACTCAGCCCGATCTTTATACACTCCAAGCCTTTCTCCTCCTCACCTCCTCACACAGCGCTTCGAGGTGCAGGGCTTCCAGTTTCTGCGTCATCTCTTTCCTCCTGTTGCGGAACCAGCCGTCAAAGTTGGGAGACTTGAGGAAATGCCTTTAAATTTAAGAAGAGAAGAAAAAAAAAAAAGAGAGAGTTCATATGACACTCGGGATAGTCTGCATTCCGACAACATGTCAGTGATTCACTACTGACATCCTTTCAGTCTGTGTTACAATCAAACCATTCATACTTAACCCAGTAAAAACCTCTATGGCTTATGAACTTAAAAATACAGATTTCCATGTGATAAATTAACTTCTGCAGATAGATTTTTTTAATAAAGGCTTATGCCTGCACCTGTAGAGTCCTATCCAGTCTCCTTTCAGTCTGGACGTAAGCTGAGGTCCAGCTTTCTCCAGTGTCTTCATGAAGTCCTGCTGTATGAACGGTCGTAGCTGAGGAGGACTCTTCCAGGGACTGATGGACTTTTGGAGAGGCATCAGACTGGCCACGTACCGCTCCTGCACCACACGAACAAATCATTTTAGTTGAAGCCTAAAATGCTTATTGTCATTTGTAAAATTAAAATCACATATTTACAGCTTCATAGCCCGATGTATCAGAGTTAAATCCACTTCTGTGAAATCTTTCAAACTCAGATTCAACTCTAAAAAACCCAGCATTCATTATAGAGTTCTTGGATCTGATTGGAGGATACCACATACATAAAGTAATTGGTTGTTACCAGTGGAATGATGAAGCTTTGTGTCAGTTCTAAGAAGTAGCGCCGAAGAATTGCATTCTGGGCTGCAGAGGGTCTCTTCTGTTGAACACCCTGCAAAACAAGAAAATACATAAAAATATTTCATATTTTCAATAATGAATAAGGGGATGCTTAAAAATGGGAAATATCTCACCTTCTGAAGCTGTTTGATGATTTCTTCATCTTTGTTGAGATACGGTTTATATGCAGTGTACACACCTACAGAACACACACACACACACACACTTATCAGACTGTTTTTTTAGTTATTGCGGGACCTCTTGCACAATTTGTCGGTGTGTGTGTGTGTGTGAGTGAGAGATTTCATGTAATATTAAAAAAAGTAAAAAATCTTTATAATACAGAAAAATAAATAGAATAAAAGAGGGATGTGAAATATCTACCGGGTTTAGAGTCCAGAGTTTTGAGGTTTTTCAGTTTCTTGACTTTCATCTGCTTGGCCATCTCTCCTGTGAGTGCCAGGTGGTGAAAAGAGTGATCAGACAGGTTGATATTTCTCCTCCATTTCAATACATCATTACCTACTTCATTAACACACTTTTTGCACAGAGACATCTTTTTGAACAGGCTTGAGACCCTGTATGTCTCAGTTTGCTGAAGCTGTAACGTTTACCTGCTTGTTTCATGTCTCCGATGCGGATGATGTGCGGCCAGTGCTGCAGCGTTTTTGCAAAAAAAGGATTGGTCACTCCTAGAATGACTGACGGCCTGCGGAAACACAGATTAATAACTTTTAACACCAATAAGCAGAAAACAATTTTCAACACTCAACAAATTTCTAACAAAGTAACTTCTGTTCATTGGCTCCCTTTTAAATTAGAATTTCAAACATCCTGAATGACCACGCCCTATCATCACTTTTTTCCAGCTGCTGTATGGAGTGGCAGCCTGTTCCAGCAGCTCCTGTTGCTATATTTAAAATTAATTTAGGGACTTTATTGCATGATTAAATTGATTTATTTTCCTTGCTCATTTTGATTTATTTGAAGGTGAAATAGATACTTTTTGTTTTACAAATCTACTCGTGGCAACAGACTCTTCACCAGCTGATCGCTCCACTGTCCACAAATTTATCCCAGCTACTAATACCAATGACACAACAGCAGGGCGTCATTTTATTTTTACTTACGGAGCCTGCGTCCTGGTGGTGTACTCCTTAAACTCACTGTCATGAATGGTGAAGTACGGCCGGAAATCACTGCAGTAACGCAGAGGAGCAATGCAGCTGCAGAGGGGGGAAAAAAACATTAAAACATTTTCTAACATTTTTAAACTAGAGTGTTTACTGAACCTTCTGACAAATTTAAAAAAAAAAAAAAAAAAAGAAAGAAGAAGAAGAAAGTAAATGTCAGTCTTAATATTTGAATTTTAATTTTTATAAGTTTTGGTACATCTGGCATTTTTGTGACTTTTTTCAACATAAAACACGTGAAGGCGACAGGATTAAGTTGGGGGGGGGGGGGGGGGGGTTATTAATACAATCACACTTATTTTGTAGACATCTCAAGTATTCACATTTTAAATATAATGCGCTTGGCCTAAACAAATCAGCATTTTACCGACGCATATGACAGTGTGCGTTGGATGAAAAACACCTGTCTGATCACTGTACAAACAGAAACATATGTAGACCGACTCATTTGCTGGACTATAAATTACACTTTATAACACATTTATAACAGGAAGACATGTCTAGGTGTCATACATCAAATTTTCCTGAACATGAAGACACAAAATTATATAAAAATTAGCTTTGGGTTTGTTGTTAAGTACTGGTCTATATATTATCCTGGCACAATAACCGCTGCTAACTTACCTGACCAAAGCTAGCACAGTATCAGATGACTCGGCTGGTGATGGCGCCATGACAACAAGTGCCTCCCCCAGCAACACCAACTCCCAAAGCATCTGGAGATGGAAGAAGACTGGATAGAAACACCTGGGGGGGGGGGGGGGGGGGGACGACACGACAATGAGTGGAGTAAGTCTCTTTCCCACTGTTTGCAAACCAATTTCAAACCAAGTCAATTTTGGCAACGTCAAAGACACATGGCTGTGTTACATTCTCAGGTTGAACCTTGTTGAACTGCTAGATTTCAATTGTATTAATTTACCTCAGAACCTGAAGGTCTTAAAAGGTTTCAGCAGATTTGGTCAGGAGCACAACCACCAAGCTGGGTGATTAATATTCTTTTTTTACCTGAATACAGAATATGCTGATTTACACAGCAGAGCACCCAAAACAGTAACTCTGACCTTTTAATAATGGGCATGACTATTCATTTTGTCTGCACCTCCCCCACAGAGACACAAGGTAGAAGCAAGTTTTCAGAGACGCCAACTAAACACTGAAATCAACCCTCCTTGCGAAAGACCTGTCTTCACTTTCTCTCAGTGTTTTTGTTTTTTTTGATAAGCAGTTCTCCTCAGCTGAAGCATTAAGTGATATTGTTCTTGATTCAGTGACAGTACCATGATTAAGCAGCAGGTGGGGACAAAACATGTCCGAAGCAAGAAGAACACTGTGACAGAGGACTTAAATTTCTGTGTTAAGGCTACCCTGTAGGTACACGTTACACCTTAACCTGACGTGTACGTCCCTGGAAATTCACACCGATGCAGTTTGCAGCCGACTGGCTCGTTCAGTGCCACGCACCAGGTTTCAAACAGATCAGTGAGAGCATAACAATTATTACCTCGATGTAAGTTCAGCAATATAATGACACACATTTGTAACAAATGGATGGAGATCGCCTTTCTCGACTTATAAAATAGGGGCCCAAACATCAGATAACATACACCAAATACAATCCCAACATACATTATCATACCAAAGCAAGTCACTAAAAAAAATATCCAAAAATTACCTAAACAATCCTAACATATAAATAACGCTAATCCAATCTAGACATTGTCACACAACAATAATGGTAAAATACATAAAATATGCTGGCAGCACGGTGCAGAAAGAAGGTCCCGAGTTCGACTCCACCATCTGGGAGTACGGTGGAATTTCTGCGTGAAGTTCCTCCCACAGTGCAAAGAGATGCAATTATTGAGGTTAGGTTAACTGATGATTCTATAGGTGTGAATGACAGCTGGGATACACTCTAGCACCCTGATAAGCAGAAGAGAATGGATGGATGCCGGCGACCAAGACTTGCACGAAAAGACAGACTGGGACATGACAACAAGCAACTTAACACCAATCACAAGCTTCAATGTTGCAATGAGACTATTACGTAACATAGGTTGCATCTTAGGCTCTATAAAGATTTAGTCTAAATCAGCCTTGACCTGCAGGACTCACCTGAAGAGGTCCACTTCATGAATTGTTGGGAGCACAATGGACACCATGCTATCACTCTAAAACACAAAAACACACTTTCAGCTTTAATATTCACATAATGCTCAGTGTGTCATCAGACATCATACAAACAGACACTGAGTGTTTGTGCGCACGCGAGTGTAAGATCACCTGGGCGGATTGGACCAGCTGTGACGTTCCTGGTTTATCATAAGAGGTTGGGATGCGAACCTGCAGCACATAGCACAGATTTTCATCAGAGAAACAATGATAGACAACGACATTTGTAATTAGTGACGGCCTTTTCTAATTCTGTTTAGGTCCTTCTTACTAGTATTATCCACAGGCATATGGAAGAGTTTGTCCTGAAAAGAGGATCATGCAACTCTTAAATGGCTGAAGTCATGAAAGAGTGCATCTTTAGCAGCAGTTGGGAACATCATCTCAAAGATAGGAGCAAACCTCACTCCACATTATGTTTAGTGCAATCGTAAATTCATGAACTGAATCATCTGTAAACTTTGGAAACTTCTCTTTTTGGACTGGAAAAAATCTTTTTGCTTTGAAGTTTGTTTGAACTTTTACACAGAAACTATTTTTAGTTTCTTGTTTGCAGTTATTTTTTTGTTTAAATACTACTGGCACTTTAATTTGTATTACTTAAATAATATTATTTATTTCATTTTTACTCTGTCATATTGAGAAATGTTAGAAATACATTTGATTATTTTCAAATTCATATGCTTCCTGGGTTTTTATTTTAATTTGCTGTGGGACGAGACAACAGGGTGATGGAGCATAGAACAGAATGTCTGCCCACAGGAAGCGGAGATAAGAGTTACTGAAATAGTCGTTGTCTAATCGAGTAATTGAAGAAAATAATCTTTAGTTACAACCCTACCCTAGACTTACAACATTCATCCTTACAATAATCAAACTCGTTTCATAGTTTTACGAGCATGTCTGGAGTCATTGTAGCCACTGCTGTTGTTATGCTCCCTACCAGCAACCACGTAAAATTCAAAGACCCACTCTAATAACACGTTTTGATCATTAACAGTGAACGACTGCTGAATTAAAGCACTTTGAAATCAGATTTTTATTTTTTTTTTAAATACAAATGTATTAAAACACTCATTAAAGTGATAAACTTAACTAAACCAAACCTTCAGTCCCAGAACTGTACCAATTTGTACTCTTTAAAACAAAATAAAAGACATGAAGGACACAGAAGTAGTGAACCAACTTCATAACATTGAAAACATTGAAGTTACCTCACTAAGCCCCTAAATGCTGCTTTAAAGTACAGGTTACTGCTGACTGCGAAGCATTCTTGTTCTACCTGAACAAGACTGCCTGATTAAACAAATATTTGCCTATCGTGGGAAATTGAATCGAGCCATCTTTAAAGTTATTAATTAGACCTGTTCTTTACCTGTCACGACATGTCAAAACTAAACATCTGCTGGTTTCAACTTAGTGCGTGAGTGTACCTTGAGGACTACACCCATGATAGGCAGCGTCAGGATTCGTCCAGGATGAGGCGTTGGCCAGCGATCGATGTCATTACAAGCTATCAAACACAACAACAATTTTGAATTAAAAAGGATCTTCTCTGAAAACAGAAAAAGGATTTATTTAAGTATACAGAAATAATTGGCTGCCTCTCTGATATTCTTCATCTTCTGTGGCAAGACAAGTTCACAATCATGGAGACTGGTCAGCAGCTACAGTCACTGCTTTCTGACTTGGCAAACCACTTGTGATTTACAATTCCTTAGTCAATGTGCAATCAAACTTTCAAAATAAGGGGATCATCCCTTACCAAATTAAAGATGGCATCATTGCCTTATACTGGTCGGTATTAATCTATAATCAACTAGAATCTACAATCCCTATAAATAGTTTCCAATTAGACATGGGTAAAACAGTGGGTTGGCCGACCCTCCATGGCTGCACCTGAGAGGTGGGAGTGCCCAACAGGACAACCCCTCTTTTAGTCCACACTGTCTCCACTTATAGTTCATATACTCTGGTCCGAATCAGCTGATGAGTTTGTAAACTTAGTTTAGAACTTTTTTCACATTGTTTGGTTTGGTGTGTTTTTTTCACATAAGGAACTCCAAGCAAGCCAAAATGCATCACTACAAACCATGTGAGTCTATGGGCTCAAATTGTGGTCATAAATATTTTGTACTTGTAAATCAGGATTTGAATGTGTAAAAAGAATTTGTGTGAGTGTAAAACAGATTTGTGTGTGGACTTAAAATAGGTGTGAAACTGCACTCAAGTTTCAAGTTACAAGTACGAATTTTGACCCTGTTTTCCTTTCATCTGATTGTGATTGACACGACATTGGCCAAATTTAACTATCCAAACAGAGAACAGATGGGTTTGGCTGTCGGAGGAGCGCTTTTTTGAACTGCAGGTCCTTGAAGGGTAATACAGTTTGAAGCTGGAGGATCTCTATGTAAATATCCGATAGAAGCTAGGTCCCCTAACTTTCAGTAGCTGTTGAAAGGATAAAGTTGTGGTATATCAGTGGTTAGAAATACCATTATTACTTTAGGATTAGTTTAACACAAAGTCAGGGCTTGCCTGGGACCATGGCTGTGAGTCACAGTGTGCAGCATAAAGGTACTTTCACATCAGACGCAGCATGTGCTGCTAATGCTAACTAAAAGCCAAGGATCCAGAATTTGTTGCACTGGCTGCTGGGCTCTGTGGGTTTTTGCAGCAGCTCTACCTGTACTAGATGCACCTGCTCATTGTCGTTTCTATCTCTGACTTTATGTCCTCTTCAAGAGTTTCTGGTTTTTTTGCTGGTTCTTCAAATATTCAATAAAAACATGTATGCTCATTAATAACGAAGAAAGCTTTGTAACTATCCCCACTAGTGAAGACTGTCATTTCCACAATACTGCCCCCCCAATACTGTCCGCAGCGCTGTTGGAAAGGCCCTGGAGGTCCCTGTATTAAGCACATAAACCTGTGACACAAAAATCACCAAACTGAGACCACCACAGACTGTTTTCCTTCGTGTTGATGAAGGAAAACACTGGGCTGGCATGTAAAAAGGCATTTATTCCCTTCAAGGACCTGAAGCTCCATAAAGAACCCCTCCAATAGCCAAACACACGTATTTTTTTGGCTAAGTCCACACACAAATCTGTTTTTTTTGTTTTTTGTTTTTTTACACACACACACACACACACACACACACACACACACACACACACACACACACACACACACACACACACACACACACACACACACACACACACACACACACACACATCCTGATTTACAAGTACAAAATATTTATGAACACAATTTGAGCCCATATGAATCCACTCACTGGCCAGGAGCAATGAGCGGAGCAACAAAAGTAAATACAGGAAGAAGGTGCTGTATTCTGGACCACTGGAGAACATGGAGAATTTACATTCATTTCACATCTAGCTGCTAGCCCCTACAGACCTTTGCACATCTGCAGTACCTTCCCACATTGAGAATACAAAGCATACGTGGTTATGGGATATTTTTTTAATCTCAAAATTGTAACATACACCTTGCATTTCGTTCGGATGATGGTCACATCACACCATAAACAAACAACTCTGGGGTTTATTCCTTCAAAGGGTCACAGTGCAGCTGTTTTGGTCTATACATAAGTCCAATTACTGTGAACTAAATGGACTAAACACCACAGGTGTGAAAACACACTTATCCACAATCCTCTCTTGGTTTTCTTGGTTATTTTGTTTTTGCAGCCATATCCAACTTTAGATACTTTTTCAATGAGACACCTTAGGTAGTACCGTTTACCATACTCTCACATCTCACTGCACCAATTATTGATTAGGTAATTTGACTGACTAATTAAACCCTATTGTGCGTGGGCTCTCCTTGTTTGTTACTAGCCTGGATGAAATTACTGAAAAGCAGTACTTCCAACACATATTAGATATTAAATACTAGAGACACTGACTTTAGAGGGAAAAACTTGCTCTAAGAGGACATTTCTATTTTGTGGTTTTTGGTTAATGAAAGTAAAGAAAAACAAACAAAAAACAAAAGCCGTTTTAGTCATTTTAAAATTATATTTATCTTTTTTTTACTATTTCTCTGAATTAGACAGTGACAGTTTGGTTTGGCTGTCAACATCTTAAATTGTTCCTTAGTTCTAAGTAAAACATCTTTTTCAAGTCTGACCATATCAATGAAATCTCATTTTGCTGTATTCTTGAAGTCCTCAAAACCTAAACAGACGAGAGGAAACTCATTCCTGAGAACAGATATAAAATACATGTCTTGTGATTAAATGTGCAACAAACTGGTTTCTCTAAACTTTGTAAGAGGCCAACCAAGCTTACGATGACATCTGATAAACTGAGAAGTCTCAGTACAGCAGACCTGCTGCCAAGCTGATACGTTGTGCCATAAAAATAAAAATGCTGAAACTAGATGTAACTAGGATGTGAAAGCACTGTAAAAGTGTGAACTAAGGACTGTGTAGTTAACTCTTCTGGACCACACGGAGCTGAGACAGGATTACACAAATGATTGCATACAGACAGGTAATCAAACTGACCAGCCTCCAGGCAGGGCTCCTGTTTCTCAAAGTATTCAGGAGCCATAATCTTCAGCAGCGAGTGGAAGAAGGTCACATAGGGCAGCTGACTGATCAAGACGAGAGACTGGAAAGAGACAGGCACAGCAAGAAAGAAAGAAAAAAGAAAAAAAAAAAGAGGGAATTGTATTTTCAGACATTTCATCAGTATGTAATTTTTTTTAGTGGTTTGATTTTGATTTTGTCTGAAAGATGTCAGAATATAGTGAGCCGACAATCCCTCATTTTGTCTAGTAATAGATTAAACCCCAAAGAGCAAATAAAAACTGCAAATAAAAACTGAGAATCAAACCCAAAGCTTGAACTAGTATATGCTCGACATGGGCCTTTGTTTCTTATTTTAACCCTCTGTATACCTGCGGTCATGATAAAGTATAATGTTACATTTGCACCACATTAAAAAAGCCTTTTGAAATAGCGTCGGGTAAAAATAAATCATTTTAGATAATTATATATATCAAATTTAACATGCATGCAGTTTTTCTATCAAGGAGAGCACTAATACAATTAATCACAATGTAACCTTGCCTGAAGTGGGAGTACTACTATTGTAAGCCTAAAATCATAACCAAAAGGTGTTGCTGAAACCATTTAATCTCTGAAATATGGAGAAAAAAAAAATCGCTTAAAACCATTATAAGTCCTATTGTGGTAACAGGAAGCATAATCTCTCTCAAATTTTTTAAACACAGTGCATTGTGTGCTGGATCCTTGTTCATGCTTAAGTTTTCTATCACCGGCTGTATTTAGTCCTCCTGCAGTTTGACACTGACCTTCTGGAAGTATCCTCTCTTCAAAGATTTGTCTCGCACCTGACGGAAGTACACATAACCATAGTAATGGCCCTGCTCCCTCTGTAACACACACACACACACACACACACACACACACACACACACACACACACACACACACACACCACACACACACACACACACACACACACACACACACACACACACACACAGCAAATTATCAGTTCACAGATTCTTATTTTACTCTCAGCACACAAAACTCTACACTGTGCAGTTTATGTGCCTACAGAGCTGTGTGTGTGTTAATGAGCGGTGCCTAACCTTCAGACAAGGTGGCGCATCTCTGTCAGTGGTTTCCAAGAAGCAGCCAAGTGACGTCTTCCTGTTGGAACCCTGCCGGAACCGGAAGCAGAACTGTGTGTCACCAAGGCAACCTGGAAAAAGAGGGAAGAGCAATGACCGATTGTCACCCACAGTAAACAAGAGACATTTTAAGACCTGAATAAAAACATATGGGAGAAAATCAGCAAACACAGGAAACCAATCATGTTTTTGTGGTGATGCATGGGGTTTAATTTAATTAAGCTTAAATAAACGTTTGTTTATAAAATATCCAGACAGCCACCCGGATTTAATCCAAGATGGCTGCAGTGTTTAGAGGATTTCATTAAAAGCCCAGCTTATCCCAGCTTCCAAACACTATGCAGATAAACATGGTGAATACATATAAATATGGATGTATATTCCAGTATTTTCTAAGATCAGACTAGCATATAGAACCAAAATATACATAAGCTGGGGAAAAAATAAAAATCACTTCATAAAGACACATTAGCAAAGGACTGCTACAAAACTTTAGGAACATTCAAAAACTTGTACTAAATTATTCTTTAAACCCAAGTCTCTTGTGTATGAAAATCAAAAAATATACAACTTAATTTGTTCTGAAGAAGAAAAACTGCACTGTCCTCAGCTAACTTTAAACTAAGATTATAAGTGTGATCATAAATAGATTAAAAAAAAAAAAAATCACCTTTGAGAAACAACAAAAACACTGCAGAATCCACCACAACCTATTTCTGTACACATCTGCATTGTGCACACCTGTAAAAATAAAGAATTAAAAAATGTACGCTGCAGAAAAATGTGACATCGATGAGCACTGGTCAGCTCTTCTAGCCTGCATCCTCTGGTCTTTTAGGCAAACAGGAAGAGGAAAACGAAAGAAAAAAGGAAACAGGAAGTCCTGCATAAGCCATGAACCAGAAGTTAACCTCAGCAGGAGGTCAACACATCTTTAGACAGAGAAAATGAGCTTTAGGACATTCAAAGAAAGACAAACACTTCAGCTCAGGCTGGTAGACTTAAAAGCATTCCACTTCATAAGTCACGCATACATAAGCACACACTACCAGGAGCACCAGAAAAGGACAGCCAAGACTCCATGACATCATTCAGTCGGGTTGCATTCAAGACCACACAGCATGAAAACAGGCCACTGCTGCCGGACCACAGCTCTGAATTAATTTTGAGTTTCTAGTCACTCAAACACAGTCCGAATACTTCTGTGTACTTAAAGAAAGACTTTAAAGCTCTTTGCTTTATTTTCCACAAATCACATCAGTCCCCTTTTAACAACAAGTTGACCAATGCCACGTAGAGTTCACAGGACAGGCAGCATCAGAATTAAATACGTTTTTACAAATGACTTGACTTTTTACCCCCCTCCACCAGTACAGATGAAGAAGAGGCAGGTCTGAGCATCTCCACTTAAATTGCTGCTTGCTCGGCCTGGAAGGAAACGGATGGAGGTAGTCGCACAAATGTAGAGCAACCTTACATCTGATCCGATTACTGGCCTATTCATTTATGCACAATAACTTGTTTTATAAAGCTCTATTGGGTATGAGACGCATGAAGAGTCAGCAGTTTCCAAATAAAGAGCACAAAAAAAATATTCATCTGTCACCATTTATTCTGAATTCCCAAAGTGGATTAATGACAAATTATGCCAAATCTGTTCAGGATGCAAGGCTAAATTATGGACGACACACACACAGAGAAAGAGAGCTGCAGTTCCTCAGTTTAATGTCTCTCTCCCCCTTTCTCTCTGACAAACACCTACAGTGAGAGATATATATAGCAGCCCTGTAAGCAGTCTGTCCTAATCCTGTCTTCAAACTGAGGGCAGCAGGCTCCTTTAGCTTCACCCCCCTCTGACTCAGTAAACTAAAACACACACCTGCGGGCAAACACACAAAGCCACAGTGGTGTTTGTACATGGGTGTGTGGTGAGTGCGCTAACCACTATACCGTAATCTATCTTACATTTAATATTTTAGTAATTTAAAAAAAATCTAAGAGTATCAGTGAAAAAGATACTGAAGTTACCAAAAAAAAAAAAAAAAGAATAAGTAAAAATTTTTATGACTTAATGCTGTTCAGCTGATATCCATCCACCTACAGTTACTTCTCCAAATATTTATGGACCTATGCAGTGGATTTCAAACAATCAAGATGTGACTGAAGTGTAGACTCTCAGCTTTAATCCAAAGTGTTTAGAAGGAGTATTGCATTAACTACAGGAATGACTGTTTAGGAATTACAACCATTTTTATACACATCCCACACAGAGTTGGAAAGAGCTGCACCTAGCATTACAGCCAACACCTTGTATAAACTAGGTCTTTTCAAGCAGCACCCAACCAGATGTTAGCAAATTTTTCCATCACTGATGAAAAATCTGAGAGCTGTTAAAACAAAAACAAAAAAAAACAATAATGTAACATGTCTCTCTCATGACTACAGAGGTGCAGAAAGAGTGCCTATTTTGTATAGTATCTAGTTTGCAAATCAAAAAACGTGCAGTGCGTGAGCTCTTCTGATGAGGATGTGCGTGTATTTGTCCGTTTTAGATGACCTAGTTCAGGCCACAGATTTTATCCGCCATGCTTTGGTTCAATAACATGTGACAGTAACGGTACTTAATTATGTCATCAAGCCTGTCAAACTGTAGAATGGTTCTGAAAAAGCAACGAGGCAAAACTGGATCTTGATTTGCATTAGAACCAGCTCCAGCCCCAGTTTGGTGGATGCGAGATAAGAGAAAAAGGCTGAAACACAAACTCACCTGAGTTGGAGTCAGGGAATGAAAGGTAGCAGATGCTTGTTTTCTGAAAGAACAGCAAATATTTAGTTTATGTCCTTACCTCTTTTATTACATCAGCTCAGGTTAACATACCCATACTAGGCTTTGCCTGCCTCAGAATGGGCCTTTGTGAATCAATCCATCAACATGTGATGCTTTTTAACATGTCGATAAATGTTCCAAAAACAAACCTTTCTTTAAAAAAATAAAGAATAAATTCAGTGTAACTCACCTCTTTCTCCGACAGTTTGGAATGATGAGGGTAAATGACCTGAAAGAGAAAAAACAAACAAACAACACTTTACCCAAAGAAGAATCTCACAAACGCACAACTGAAAACTTTGGTCAGCCTCTATTATGTGCTGTGCTTATGTTGTTAAACTGTAAAAAGAACTGGAAAACTGTAATACAATGCAAGGATGTTATAAACTGATTTTAATGTGACTGAGAGACAAAGATAAAAACTAAAACATAAAAGTTAAATTATGTTTTACAATGAAGATTTCTTACACCATAAAAATAAATAAATAAATAAATAAATACAACCCAATAAAAACCCACAAACACACACACAGAAGTGAGCAAATTCAATCAAATAATTTTTTTAAACTACTGAATAATGTTAATTGTTTACACAATACACACAATTTTTGTAGTTCTAAGTGTTCCCATTTTAAGCACTTAAAAAAAATAGCTGTACTTTTACAATTTTAGATTTCCTTTAGTATAAAAACAATCTACGGTGTTTATATTTTTCAAACTAGAAATGTATCAATGACAACATTTTGGTTTAATACTTGTGTTGAGATTTGTTTTAAAATGTTTTATTAAACATTTTAAAACAAAACTTTTATAGTCCTTTCAGTTTTTCATGGCAAAATTTGTTAATATTTGCCCAGTTAAAAAATGTATCTTGCATTTATCTAAAAGTTTAAAATTGAACTTTATCTATAGTCAAGTTAGAGGTGGGAATCACCAGACACCCCTCGATACAATATTAACAAAATATTTCTCTCAAAATATGATACTGTTGCTATTTTTAACATTTTGTGATGTGCTGCATTTTCACAACATATATTGCGAATTATCACTTTTTTTAAAAACAGCAAATTATCTCCTTAAGTTAAACTTTGTCAATATTTATATTTTATCTAATAAGATAACGTTATCTTCAACTACACCAAAATGGTCATTAGAACCACTCACAAATGTTGCTGTAAGTCAGAGTAAGCCTGCTATCAGTCTGTGATTGAATGAGGTCAAGTTGGCAATTACATGCAATCTGTTTCTGATAATGCACAATTAACTGTTATACACCATCAAAAATCACATCTGTTAATGTCTACCTAGACAGAAATTAATATTCAACTATTATAATTGCTCTTAACCAGCTAGCAGCTAGTTGAGTTGAGTCCCTTCCAGTTGTGCTCGTTGACAAAGACTCATTCAGAGCAACAGCAGCATCTTCAGAATCAGAATCAGAATCAGAATACTTTATTCATCCCGAGGGAAATTAGGGGTTACAGCAGGCAGCACGCTAATGGCGCATGCGCACTCACAAAGGAACCTTCTGACCAACTTTACACAAACATTGGCAATCATTCTGCATTTATAAATTAGACAGCAATTATTTACATACCTTCGACAGTCTCTCTGACAGCGATTTTCAGTCAGTCCAAGTCAGACTGCAACTGTCTGCAGAAAGGATGCCTCCTGAACTGCTTAGCTTTGTCAAGCTAAGTGTGTCCAGTGGTTTTGGTTGAACCAGTTTAATGTTAAGTTTGTTCAGCTAATGTTACCTCAGCACGGTGAAGCATGAAATGAGCCATCTTGTTCATAGTACTCCCAGAGTATTTTAAATATTTAAAAATCAGTATCTGGTATTCCTATATCATTACAGTATCGTGATACTATGCTGTATTGATTTCCCCCCACTACTAATTCAAATCAAGTAAAATTTTGATATACCCATTAAAAAAACAAACAAACAAATATGCTGATCCATGTGCTGCACTGCTGATAGTACTGCTGATGAATTTACCGTACTAAGTACTATATCCAATTAGTAAATCAAAATGATGAAATGCTCTGTAGTCTTAGTGTAGCTCAGTCCCCTGGAGAAAGTGAAACAGAAAGACCTGAAGAAGTCTGAATCTGCATAGTTGTTTTTCATTTAAACATTGTTATCAGGTAACTGATTAATGTGTGTTTCTATAACTCCTGTGAGGTCAACAGGTGTTGGGGAATTTTTTAGCCTTTGTGACTTCAGTAGGATTCAAAACATTTGGGTAACGTTTTAAGTTGAATTATTTTTTTTAGTGTTTTTTTAAATATGCAACTTTCTGCAAAATACGTCCATTTGAAGTTATAGCCTGAGTGATGCAGTGGCTGCTGGGACGGACTAACTTCAGCTAAGGACACCAAACACGCTTCCCCGTAAGCTCGGCATTGTCATAAAGTGATCCTACAGTAAAATGTTCTGCTAGTTTTGTGAAGCGCGTGTGTACTCGTGTAATCATTGTTAAATCAAAGAGTGGCAAAATGAAAGCAGCTAATGAAAGTGATTTGTTCACTCCCCTCCAAGAATTAGCCCAAGCCTAAAAAACTGCTAACTTAGACATTTGTAGCCTCACTGAGTTTAACATGACCCCGCTGTCCCCGGCGGATACTTTTGTCTCACCTCCACCGCCTGTCCGAGCTCCAGGTCGAAGCCGACCACACAAATGCAGTGCAGCCAGGCGGAGAAACGGTCCCAGGGCAGCAGAAGAGCCTCCTCCGTCTCCTCGTCGCCTCCAGGCCCGGGGGGTAGCGTTATTTCCTCCGCCGGGGAGATGCTGCTAGCGTCCTGGTCGTCCAGATCCTCCGACTCTTCGACCGGCTCCCCCAGCTCCTCCGGGCCTTGCAGAGCCATAGCTACGGCCCGACACCGGACACAGAGATGCTCTGAAGAATGTTAACCGTTTCCTAAATATGTTTAATGGTATTTCAGGCCAACTTGTCCGCAGGTAACAACAGGAGACAAGGAGGGTGCAGAAAGTAGCCACTTAGCTTCCAATTAGCATTTCAGCAGCAACGTATTACGTTCTTTGTGCAACGTCATCACGCACAAACGTCCCTGAGCTGACTTCTACATGCCGTATTAAATAATCCATATAAAATCAATAAACAAATAATTACGTAGTTGTTTTTAATATTTGGTCTAATTTTTTCCAAATGGTTTGCACACAGACATAAAAAGAAATTTTTAAAAAGACATAAAACAGGATAGAAGAGATTTTTCTTTTCAAATCAAAGCTTTTAAAATCAAAATTATGAGATCCAAAGTCAAACATTAGACCTGCTAAGTCACAGCATAACCTAGTTAAGGCAAAAAATTCAAAGCTAGTAAACCTAAATATAAACCTAAACTATATGTAGAAATTAAGAGATGTTTATGAGATTTTAAAAAATTATTTATTTATGTAGCAGTTTTCAAAAATAGAAGTCACAAAGTGCTTTATACAGATAATAATCTAAGTAAGAGGTGTCAAACATGGCCCAGTGGCCAAACCCAGACACAGGCTGACAACAGGTGTAGTTCAACACACTGTAAAGTGCAAGCGATGAAGTCAGTGGTTATCACAGTGTTTCAGTAGCAGAAATTCAATGCTCCTCATTTTGATACCAGATTGGTTTCATCTTTCTTAAGATCTTGGTAGTGGCTCAGCTGGGTGTTTTCAGATTGTACTTGAACTGGCTCAGAAACACTCCTGGTCTAAGATAAGAGATACAGCTGCAAAATTTAAAATACTACGAATACACGAAAGACCTATGACAGTATATGCAATTGATTAAGGGGAACATCTGCACCATATATTAAAATGCAATAATAAAAAAAAAGCTAAACGTCTTTGTTTGTTTGGTGTATTTTTTTTCTAAATAAGCTGTAAGATGTACATTGGCAGGAACCTTGGGTAAAATCCAAAAAGTTCTTTTGTTTGATTGTTGTTTTTGTGCAAATTAACTTTGTATGTTTTGCACATATTGGGCTGAAATAAACAATTTTAGCAAGAGGCAGATGACTGAAGAAAATAAGTGAGAGAGGAGGACAGATAGAGAGAAAGATAATCAGGAAGTGCATAGGACCGGTAAGGAGGAAATGAAGGGAGCGATGAAGAAAATTAAGAGTGAAAAGGCAGTTGGTCCAGTGACATACCTGTAAAGGAATGGTGATGTCTAGGAGAGAGAACAGGGGACTTTTTAACCAGACTGGTTAACACATTCTTGGAGAGTGAGAGGATGCCTGAGGAATGAAGGAAAAACTTTATTTCTTTTCCATTTGACATTAGAATTGACGAGATTAAAGGAACACCTCAGGCTGAGATGGTTTGAGCATGAGCGGAGGGCAGATGTTGGATATACTATGCAAAGGATTTTGAAGAAGGAGCTTCCAGGCAGGAGGAAAAGAGGAACAGCACAGAGAAGGTTCATGGGAGTAGGCACATGCAGGGGTTGGTGTGACAGAGAAGGACACTGCAAACAGGAAGAGATGGAGGCAGTGAAGTGGTAAATTGGGGTTATATATTTATACTCCTTACACTGAGACAAAACATACAAAGCAGGTCCTCTATACCATGGCTCTGAAGAAGTGTTTTTTGTCTGCTATGAATGTAAAGGAATTGTTTTTGGTGAATGACATAATTGCAGAAATTAGCAGTAATAAAAACACTGAAAAAATGTCTTGATGCATGCTTAGTCATCCAGGTAAGTAAATCCCAAAAGGTTGATTCTGTTCATCTGCGCGTAGCGTTTTCAGTGGAGAAATGTTTCATCACTCATCCAAGTGACTTCTTCAGTCTCAGCTGACTGCAGGTTTCCCCAACCTAAACAGTACATTTGGACAATGACTGAAACTAGCTCATTCAATGAACAATGGACTGTGAGGCCAGTTCCTTGAGCATTAATATGCAAGTTTCTATGACCATTGATCAACAACCACTGATCAAAGCCCATTGATGAATTGAGTAGGTGGTCAAATGATTCAGTTGTACCACTACAGACCACCTGTAGATAGACAGCGTCTCTACCACCTCAGACGCTTGAGAGACTTCCAACTGCCCTCCAAGGTGCTCAGGAACTTTTACTCGTGCACCATAGAGAGCATCCTGGCGGGAAACATCTTAACCTGGTTCGGGAACAGCACCATGCAGGACAGACGAGCTCTAGAGAGGGTTGTGCGGTCAGCTAAGCGCACCATCCGCTCCGAGCTCCCTGACCTGCACTCAATCTACAGCAGGCGGTGCTGGACCAAGGCCAGGAAGATCGTGAAGGACCTCAGCCATCCCAACAACAGACTGTTCTCTCTGCTGAGGTCAGGAAAGCGATTCCGCTCCCTGAAGACCAACACAGAGAGACTGAGGAGGAGCTTCTTCCCGCAGGCGATACGGTCTCTCAATCACACCACCACACAGTACTGATCCACACATACAGTTCTTACACACACACTGGACTTTCTGGACTTTGGTTTTGCACAACACTGGTCACTATATTCTTCATTTCCGGTTAATGCTTGTACAGCTGCTGTTATTGTGTATATATTTATTTATATTTAGATTTCTTCATACATTCTTATATAGTTCTATATTGTGTATTGTGTATTTTGTTGTACAGTTATTTTATTTTCAACTTTAATTTATATATTTATCTTTATCTTATTCTTCCCAGTTAAATTTACCCTTCATTCTAATTTGTGTTGTACAGTTATTTCATTTTTAACCTTAATTTATATTCTATTCCTTCCTAGTTAAATTTACCCTTTTTAATTTTTCATATTTATTTCCTATCTTATTCATAGCCTTTTCCTTTTTTGTTTTCTTTAGGTCACGAGCAGTTGTCCAAGCATTTCACTACATATCGTACTGTGTATGACTGTGTACGTGACAAATAAAAATTTGAATTTGAATTTTGAATTTGAATTTGTTGATGATTAAGATCATTTTCATATTACTATATACGATAATATATTCCTTAGTGACACCTGCTGCTGGCAGCGCTAGCTACAGTTCATTCTTTGTGATCTGAACTCCCCCACTCCACCACCTCCCCCCCACACACATCCACATTGCTAAGTATAACTCCCATCACTGAATGAATCACGTCTTCAATTACAGCCTGACTCTGAAGGCAGTAAATCAGCTTTATCTAAATCCTTTAATAGCTCTATCACCGAGCAAGCAGATGGATGAACCAAACTGCAAACAGAGGGCACAAACAAACCTTGGTGGCCTAAGTTGTGATGCAAATTAGTCTACTTATGGGTAAGAATAGTAATCAAGTCAATAAGATATTTTTCCACAAAATGAGCAGTACTGGATTTCAGTAAAGTAATGCAAATTTAAACCAATTCATACTAAATGACTTGGTTTTAATTGTTCTTGCATTTTATATCTTGAGCCACAGAAAACAGTATTTGATCTGTCACTAAATAAATGTAAATGTACATTGCTTTTTTACATACTTTATTGTCATATGTTTAGTTTTTTAACACAATTATTCTTTTTTCGTGTTTTATTATGATTTTTTGTAATTTTTGCTCCCATTTTTCTATTGTATTTTTTTCATAAATAAAGTATATCTTATCCCAAGAAAAAAAAAACATAACGAAACAAAACGAAACACCTGTGCATACTAAAGAGCTAAGTTATCAACTAAACAGAAAATAAATTAATAAAAAAAATCCAAAGTCCAAGTGAGGCCTTTTTGGGGATGTTCAAATATCACATGGTACAAACATGTAAGTTATAATGAATGTAATAGTTATACATTCTTATGTTTTTGTATACAATTTCAAATATAAAATATTCACATTGATAACCTGACATTAGTGATAATACATTAAATATAAAAAAACAACACTTTGCATTGATAGATAATGAAATGCAATGAATGAGGTCTGGGAGCACACAAACCCCAACATTTATCAGATCACTAAAGAGTGTTGTAATTAAACTAAGATGTAATGGAGTTCAGCTTCTAAGGCTTTGTATCCCACAAACAGCCTCTGTTAAATGGACATAGTGATGTCAAACTGGGCTAAGAAGCTAAACACAGTAAGATGCTGTTAAATCTCATATAATAGTCAGACTGTTAGCACAGTGACAGCTGGTGCTCTGCTCTCTCTGCAGGAGGGCTAGGCAACGCAGGGACCACGATGGGGTCTATCCCACAAAAAAAAACCTGCACCAGGAACACTTTACAGGAAAACTCCAAAACTTCAAAATGAAAACCTATAACAAGGGTATCAAATATAAGGCAGAGAAGCCAGAATTGGGCCGCTACAGTATCTGGCCCACTGGACGGCTTTGGAAAATGTGAAGTAAGGCATACATTTTGGACTGCGCTGTATTTTAATAAATTTAACTGTTCCTCTTGCTGATAAACTTCTCCCATGGCCATTCGTATTGCACCAAAGTATTTGCTGTATTTGTGCAAAATCTATTAGTTTATAGTATATGTATAGTATTTGTTACTTAATTATAATCCAAATCCAATTTGGGATCTGGACTTAATTATACTTCAAATTATATTTCAAAACTTACATTTTAACTACTGATTTTATCTACTGTTCCTTTCTTTTTTTCCATTTTAAATCATGCTTTTTTATTTGTTTTTGTTTTTTAATGTCTCTGTAAAGCACTTTGAATCACCTTGCTGTTGAATTGTGCTATATAAATAAACTTGCCATACTATCTGTAATTAAGTAACAGACAAAATTAAATAACAGAAAAGGTCCTGTTTTTTTTTACTATCAGCTATAGAAATTATGATCTTTCCGTAAAGAACAGAACCTTTCTGTTTTACAGCACAGTCTGGGAAATGATCTACCAGAACCTTTTCTGTAATTTTACACATTTATTTCTTACAGTTTAAGCCCAAACAGTCATAGTGACACATTTATTTGATCTATGACTGCAGCTTTTCTTTATCATACAGAAAAACTAAGAAATACTGTTTCACTGGTCCAGCTCACTTCACATCAAAATGGGCTGCATGTTTGTGGCCCACAGTTTAAAATGACTTTAATATCACTGTCCTATAAGGTCTGATGTTTACATCGCAGGAGTCTGTCAGTCACTCAGTTCTTATCTCGTCCTTCACTCTGGTATATTTGGAACAGCCTAATGATCAGTCTGATCCCAAAGTGAATCCTGTTTCAATCCTCTGCCCTCTTAGACCTACTGAGATCTCAAGCAACAGTACAAGGTCTTATGCCCTTTTCTTGTGATGAAGAAATTGACTGGCTTACATAGCTCAACATACTTTTTTCTTGCTGGGATTTTGTTGTGAAGATTGATTTTTAGTAATATGAGGGAAAACTAAGCTAAACAGCCATGCAAGAATTTAAATATTCTGATCTTATCAAACCTACCCAGTCTTGGACATTTAGAGGAAAAGAGGAATTACTTACAGATAACAAAACATTTTTACCACAAAAAAGAAACAAACAAAAAACAAGCAAATATTTATATATTCAGTCTGTGTGAATGGATGGGTGTAGGTTTTATTTGATCACTGGAGAAGGGATGCATTAAGTGGAGTGTTATACAGTGTTATTCCTGACACTAAAAGCCACAGGCTGCAATGCTTTACATCTTCAACCTCTTTAGCCCCTTGTTCTTCTCCATACACTTTGGAAGTAGGTGAAACTGGAAAAAATGTGGAATGCATTGAATATTTCTCACTTTCAGAGTGTAAGGAGTTGATAACTCTGTCTGACATCAGGCTGCTTTTTGGGTTTCTTGTTTTGAGGAAGTCATTTGCTTTAATGTGCACGTGGCACTTTTAATGGTTCAGATATGTTTCTGATCATGTTGGAAAGTCTCTGCATGTTTCGTAACAGCTCTGCTGTATTATTGAGGCTGATTGAAAACAAGAAGGACTAGCAACAATGGCTTCAGATTAGTTAGGAAACTGGCAACAACTCAATAAACTCTGAGAAAAAGTTTCAATACAGAAAAAAAGTTCCTTCATTTTAAGGAATATTAAAAAAATGCCTGCGACCTCTTGACTAACTTAATATGAATGAGAACAGCACCAAACCTGTCTGTCTCTTTCAAGAAAAGTGTTTTTCCCCAAAAGCTGATGAAACAACAACATCCCCATTCTTAAAAGTTAGTGTTCAAACTGTTCAATTAAACTTTTATCCCTTCTTTTCTCAGTGAAGTGTGTAGACTGAAGCCTGGTCACAGTTCAGCTGCTAGAAGCAACAATTATATAGTTTTTATATTTCCTTACAGCCAATAAAAAAATTGATGCAGAAAATTCCAAACACTTATGGAGAGTAATTATGAATACTTTAGTCACATGTCCTATAAATTATGGCTGAATCTAAGAAAAAACAGCAAAGCTTTGCTTTATTTTTTTATCTGCTTTACAGTCTCATCCACCATCGATTTGTTCTCAGCTGTCTGTTCACCAGAGCACCACAGGGACATTTCTGGGGCCAGAAGCAGAATATGATCTCCTCTAAAACCACCCCCAACCTGCTGTCCTTTCCCTAAGCTGCATTGCTGGGATGATGTCCGTCTGATGCAAACTCAAATATACTGCTCTGATTAATAAACTGCAGGTGATGAGAATCAAAAAGGTACTTGAAAAGAAACCAGGTGATTTTTTTAAGTAAAGTAGATACAAATCTGTTCTGTTTTTTCTTTCTAGATTATACCATTTATTAGGACTTCCATATTTCTTAAGCAATTAATATATTCAGGCCTGTGTAATGGACAATGAAAAAAACAAAAAACAAGAAGAAAGGTTCTGAAAAAAAGACTGAACAATAATCCAGTTTTCATATTTAACACAAATGAGTCCATGTTCTTGAAAGAAAAAAACCCACTCCAGTAAAACAGGGAAACCTGTTTCAATTCCTTTAATTTTAAATATGATTATATTGTCTATCCTGTAAAATAGTCAGATGTCTATTCATATTAATGTACAGAATTCACCTGCTTGCTGCTACTACTGCACATTCACCCAATGTATATACTACACACACACACACACACACACACACACACACACACATATATATATATATATATATATATATATATATATATATATATATATATATATATATATACACAGCAATGACATTGGAATGTCGTTCGGACTGGAGAAGTGTAGTCGGATGGTAACAAAGAGAGGGAAGGTAGTCAGAACTGAGGGGATTGAACTACCAGAAGGCAACATTGCAGACATAGAGGACAGTGACAAGTACTTGGGGATCCCACAGGCGAATGGGAACCATGAAGAGGCCGCAAGAAAAGCTGCAACCACCAAGTACCTGCAGAGGGTCAGGCAAGTCCTGAGGAGTCAGCTGAATGGTAAGAACAAGATCCGGGCCATCAACACGTACGCCCTGCCCGTGATCAGGTACCCTGCTGGGGTAATAGGCTGGCCAAAGGAGGAGATAGAAGCCACTGACATAAAGACAAGAAAGCTCCTTACCATGCATGGAGGGTTTCACCCCAAATCCAGCACCCTGAGGCTGTACGCTAAGCGGAAGGAAGGGGGCCGGGGACTGGTGAGTGTCAGCACCACAGTCCAGGATGAGACAACGAACATCCAAGAATACATTGGGAAGATGGCCCCAACTGACCGAGTGCTCAGTGAATACCTCAGGCAGCAGAAACCCAAGAAAGAGGAGGGAGACGAGGAACCATCATGGAAGGACAGGCCCCTGCACGGTGTACATATATATATATATATATATATATATATATATATATATATATATATATATAATGTTTTTCTCAGGCTACATTTCACTGTGTGTTATACTTGTATAACTATGCATGTGACAAATAAAGAACCTTAACCTTAACCTTTAAACCATAGCAAAGGATAAAAACAAAACAACATAACAGAGAAATTGTGTGGTTTACAAAAAAGCATCTTTTCTCATAGATCCATATTCTAAACAAAATTCAGCCCTTTTGACTTTCATGATACCGTTTCATGGAAGATTTGACATCATTTGTTTTATCTTGTGTTTAACGTTTGGTTTATGAGGGTTTTATTTCACCAAAACAGTGCTTCTAGCTTTTATGTTAGCTTATATATTTGTGTTCTTCTGTATATAAACTAAGTAGAAATAGATTTGGGTCTATAGTAGAATTTCCTCACACGTCCCTTTGAGCTCTGAGGGAGTTAGCCATATTTGTATTTGTGCGTTAATCTGAGGTATTTTCACTGTCTGGGTGGTTTCTAGTCCTGCAATCTTTGTGCAATACGTTTAGATTATTATGTGAACTCTTGCAAAGAGGATGTAAACAGATTATAGGATTTTGGTATAAAGTAATTTTCTTTGTCATTATTATTTGAAGAGGTGTTTGTATGTGAAATATGTTGTGCTTTAATACCAACTTTGTAACACGTTACTCGTATCTACTTTTTTTTACATTTAAAAAAGTGCTTACATTTTTATCGTCAGTGTTAATCATGTTATATATTTTTAATAATTCATAATTCTGTTTGTATCTATGTATTTATCTTTTAAGCTCATTACTTTTTCCGAGTCTGACTTAGCTCAGCAGTGGGTGGTGCTCATGTCAGCTGGTCAGTGAACGTATCCCTCCGGCTGTCTATCGTTCAGTGAACGCACCACCGCTGTCTGCTCTCTAGTTACAGTATGGCGGCTGGGACTTGCGGAGGAGGACAACTTCTTCTAGATTCCTTCCAGCGACGGCATTAATATAAAACTTATAGCGGCAACCACGAGGTACACTGCAACAGACGACAGCGGCATAACTTGTGTTTCTTACTGGGGCTTTCCCCAGAAAATAATCGGACTGGTGTGTGATGCGTGAGGACCCGCAGTCAAGAAACTCCCCGGATTTTTCCGCGTCGGTTTCTGCTTTGACTGTCAGTTAGCCGGCTAGCTGCTAGGTAGCTCCCTTCAATGCTAACGCTCGCCTGCAGAGCTCTATATTAGCAAAAAGAAGCGCTAGCGTGTTGCTTTTATTTACTCCAGGTGACAGGGATGGTATACCGTATCCATTCGGTAAGCGGACTGGTTGAAAAAGATGGGGAGAAAAAATTTGTGGACCTGGAAGATAACTTTGTCAGTACTCATTAGCCTAGCCTAACCTAGCTTTCTAGTACAACGCCAAAAGAGAGTTAGCGCTTCGCCTGTCCACCAGCGAGTTAGCCAATTAGCATTTTAGTTGCACAAGACGACCAGATAATCCTCCCCTGTTCATCCCGGTGGATGGTTTTGAAACGTCTCCGCTGACTAATTCAGACGAAGAGTGGGCATTGAGCTGCTTTAGTTTTATAACTCAGGGGTGTTTTGGCGTTCGGGCTCGCTAGGTGTTCTCTGGTGGAGGGAGTGGTGAAGGTAGGGAGATAGGAAGGTAGCTAAGGTTCCCTGCATCAGGGCAACAAGGTCACTCAGATTATGAAGACCCATACATGTCAACTACACTTATAGATGACACTTTAGTAAATGACAGACGCGTGTGTGTTGTGTGTATGTGTGTATAGGGTGATGAACGCTGGGGTGTGTGCCTGCTGTTAGCTTGCTGCAAGAGAAGACAACACAGCTCAGAAGCGCGCAATAATTGGACCTACTGCTCTTGATATACGTTAAACAGACAGTTTAGTCAGCACAGAAGGAGTTTGATGGACGTGAGGGGCTGTCAGTGCTATACTCACTCATGTATGTCTTGACACATGGCAGCTTGGTCTGTACATAGTGCCTGCTGTCACATATAAGCGTCGTTATGTAGCTTCGGTGGGCAGTCAGTGAGGGGAATGTCCTGTCTTTTTTTATACCTGTTGGTTTGTTTTTTATTTCTCACACACAAGAGAGGACCATGTTTACTAGTTAGTGCCTAGAAGATTAGAGGACTAACATTTCAGCCTACAGATAGGCCGCAGATATCGTAGATTATTCCTATTTTTTTTTGGAGGAGGGACTCCACCAGAAAAACCTGCCACTCTGGATCAAGAAAACTTGCCCCTCGTCACTGGTTGGAGTAATACTCTCAAGCCAAAATCAATGCCTTCAGCGCTGGCAATATTCGCCTGCCGACCCAACTCGCACCCATTCCAGGAGCGGCATGTGTACCTGGATGAGCCCGTCAAGATCGGCAGGTCGGTGGCTCGGTGCCGGCCAGCCCAGAACAACGCCACCTTCGACTGCAAGGTGCTGTCCAGGAATCACGCTCTGGTGTGGTTTGACCACAAGACTGGCAAGGTAAGCGGCAACAGCACTGAAAATTACTTTACTTAAATTGCTTTACTTTGGTTTTTATGTGGGCCTGAAACTACAGTAGATAGTTACTTTACTCCATGTGTCTGTGAAGGTTCTCAGTCATCCAGGTCATCGTAGTCAAAGGAGCTTGCAAAGAAAAGCGTCTGGACTAACTTAAATTTACTCCATGTCTTCTTATGGGTTGGCCAAATAAAGAGAACCACCAGTGAGAAATATCACCTCATTGGTTTGCATCTTTAAATAGACAGGAATAAAAGCCCTATAAAGAGGAATTTTGCAATGTTAGCTGCTCATCTTGTTTACTTATATTTTCCATGAATGAGCCCAATTAGCTCACAACCTTTCTTTTACTGTGTAAATAAGGTTATTACCTAAGAGCTTAAAATGTTGCAGGAGATCCAACTTATTCCAAACTGAATCATGGTAACCCTTACATCAACTTGGGATAATTTAATATGCCTTATAATTCTGACTTGAATATTTATAAATCATTTTTACCTTCATGAATCCAGGTAGCAGATTTTAATACAGCTATCATTATTAATACTAATAATGATAGTGTTGCTGTGGATTTAACAGGCTGCTGTTCAAAGTTTGAAATATATGAGCAGGTTGTGGGATGAAATGAAAAAGCAATGTTAACAACAGTATAATCTGTGACAATAATCTGTGTCACTATCTGTGTCAGTTATGCTGATGGATTAGTTTGTGTCACTATGAATTGTGGGGAGGCATTGTCTCTTTAGTTATAAAGGAAGTGCTGTAGCACATGTTTTTAGTGTTTAGAGCAGGGGTGGGAAATTGATTTTTTCCAAAGTGGCCACATGAGAAACTGACCCTTGTGGAGGGCCACACCAATAAACTGAACTCAGATATGCTCAGTTTTCTCTTCTTTTTCTCACGTGAGCCTTTGGGAAAATGTATTTCTGCCCACAGTTTAGAGAGTTCAACCAGCTCTTCTTATTGCTTCCTCGTCACTTCTGTTAGGAACCTCCATAAGAACAGCTGATGCTGTGACTAGTCGGGGCTTTTTCTGGTTCATAATAAACTTTTAAGCGATTGGGGCACTAAGCAGGATTAGTGAGTGTGTAGTTGAGGTAGGGTAGCTTACTTAACAAATGTGTGCATTTTGCTGATATTGCCCAGCTTTTAATTTTTAAAAAAGGAAGTTTTCAGCAAATTAAATACGGCTTTAAAACCACTTAATTGATAACTCTTTGTTCTGTGGACTGATGTGACTGAACGACTTCGGAGAAAATCTTCACACATATGTTTTTAAATTTAAAGTAGTTGACTTAACCTGCTATCTAAAATTACATAATTGAAAAGGATCAGGATTTAAAGATGCACCAGTTGGAATTTTCTTCAATTTTAACTGATAGCATATACCCACTCTGCTTCAATGCAACGTTTTACTTTCATAATAAAATAAATTGTTAAATTTAAGAATTTTCCCCCAAACTGCAGTACATTACAAGATCTTCTCTCATTGGAAAATTGAAAATAAAGTTTGCCGTCACTGGAAAGAGTTACAAATAATTGAATGAAAATGAGGTGCTGTACACCTACCTTTACCTGTCATATTTTATGTAGGCAAACAATGTCAAGTTCAACAGATTTATATAACAAGCCAAATGTCAGGTACTTGCATCATTTCCTAGTATTTTTATAACTTCACCAGATAACAGGGCATTGACCCTTCTCTCTTTTCCCACTCATCTCCGTAATTTGTCTCGTAATTGCTTTGATCTTTTGCTCACGCTGAGGCTGCTGGCTTGTGTCTGGCTCTAAGATCTGGATAGTTGTAGCTTTAACCACTTTTCCTTTGTTAGGTTCTTTGTCTCAGTGGGATTGTTGTTATGAACTTTTTCACTCTTGTGTTTTACTTTGGCGAACTGTGTCTTCACTTGCAGTGAGGAGGTTAGATGGTTTTGACATAGTGTGTGGTTGTGCATGTGCATATGATGATTTGTCTGCATTGCTGTGTGCATGTGTTGTGCATACATGAACTAGCCTTTTCTCAGTCAGGGCAGAAAACGCTGGCCAAGTTCCTGATTGGGGAGTTGATTGGTGCATCTCTACTGAGTTGGGACCTTTTTGTAGTTACAAATCCAAATTTTGCAGCAACATATTAATGACTAACCTGGCATTATGGATGCATCAACTCAGACTTGTCTTTCTAAAAAGCAAGATTTTCACCAAGAACGATTTACTAAATCTGTAGCCAGGCAGTACATTATTAAATGTCAACTGGCCCAACTTAGGAGCCCTCCAAATGTTGCTGCTATTTAGACGTTAGTTTTCATTTATATCTGCACTTATAAAACAGCTGTACATTTTATTTTTTTCTTTCGTTCTGTTTTTTTAAATAAATACTTCTGACTAACTTCCAGTGGATTCCTAACTCGGCTAAACTTTGTGAATTCTCTCTTTCATGGATGACTTGGTGTTAAAGTTTATTGTAACAGCCACACTAATCATTTTATTGGAGCTGAAAGAGTTTGGACTGTTTAACTGTCAGTATGGTCCCCGTGTTCGATTTTTGGGAACTGAAGGAGACTTTGGACCTGGACATGTATAACTGCCAATAACTGAAACAGAGGTTGAAATCACAATACAAACTTCTCCCATCTCATAGTGTGGGACCATCATTTCATACCATAATACTCATGTGGAAGTGATAATTTATTCCCACTTATTTTAAGTTTGATCAGGCAATACATGGACTGAAAATCTAAATTGTTGCACTCTTAGCCATTAAGAGTGCTCTTGGTTCTAAACCAAAAAGATAAAATGAAAATTTAGTGTATCTGCCAGGTTTTCTTATAAATGGGATGTATTTATTTATTTATTTAAATAAATAATGTGTCTTTCTTCTGAATTATTTAAGTAATTTCTGTCATTAGAAAGTGGACAGTAAAGCCAAGAATCTGTTAAATGCAGAGAATGAGATAAAAATAGTTGTAGGACTCATTTTTCAGACCAGGGGCTAAACTTAGTCCAGGGCTAACCAAAATTCAAAGCAGATATTCATTGAATGCAGCCCACATTCCAGTCTACGATTAGACTTAATCCCTTTCAGGGGAGCCAAACTGTTGTTTCGTTAAAAGGCACAGGTCTGAATGTAAATTGGGCATATAAAATCTGTGCGTTGTTGCATCTGTAGTTTCTCTGCTGAACAGGTTAAACAGGCTGAGACAGCCACGGGATTACCCAGCACTGTGGTATGCAGGGACTTTGAAATACCCTCTGTATGTCTGTGTGTGTGTGTAAAGGCAGCACAGGCTATTTATAACGACACTGGCAGCGTCATCCTTTCCTCTGTTCAGGAATAAACGCACATGCAGACTCACACTGATCTGTAGGATCTTACCATGCACACATGCTGCTGAATGTATTGAAACAGGGGAGTAATGATTTGAGATTATTGGTTTATCACTTGAGTTTTTATTATTACCAGGGAAGTTTTTTTTCTTATGGCTCATGAAAAGGTTGTATTTGCTCTCTATATGTGTGATTAATACAGTCAGTTGAATTTTAATGTAATAAATGTAGGACCTAGATAATTCTTTTCCTGTAGAATGAGGTTTTGTTTGTGGCGGTGTCGGGGCAAAGGGCATGTGTCCACACACAAGCATGTCCGTGTCAGGTAATGTTTCGCAGTTTTTCATTAGGTTCTTTATTTTTAACTTTTCACAGTGCTTCACACTGGTTTTACTTGTGAAGCAAACAGATATACATGCACGCACGCTAATAAGAGTTTTTTTTCCCTTACAGTCAGTATTTTCACATCAAAAGACCAATAAATCCTTCATTAAATTGCCTGCATGGAGAGTTTCAATGTGAAGGAAAGTGATGTTTTTTTCTGCTTCCATCCACTGATATAAAAAAATATATATCTGTAGATACTAATTATTCTCGCATATTTGGATTATAAATATAAAAGTTCATATCTCCAAAAAAACAGTATTACTATAGATTAAGCTTCCCAGTAGTATATGAAGTCGAATGACCACTACCTTGCGTTCTAGTATTATTACCTGTTTTGCAATTAACTCGCATAGATTGCATGGGACTAAGGCAGCAGAAATATGTATTAGGATAATGCTACACACACACACACTCACTCACTCACTCACTCACTCACTCTAAAAGTGGCTTGCCTAACCTGTACCTCATAACCGTAGTTTCCTCTTGCAGAAACAATGTTTGTGTGTCACATGACTCTGCAGTTTTAGTTCTTGTAAAAATCAGTCTAATGTGAAAGGGTTTGAGGAGTGATTGGTTATTCACTATACATATATATATCTCCCAGCCATATATACGTGTGTATACGTGTATATGTATATACGTGTGTATACGTGTATATGTATATACGTGTGTATACATGTATATGTATATACGTGTATATGTATATACGTGTGTATACATGTATATACGTGTGTGTATACATGTGTATACGTGTGTGTATACGTGTGTGTATACGTGCGTGTATACGTGTGTGTATACGTGTGTGTATACGTGTATATACGTGCGTGTATACGTGTATATACATGTATATACGTGTATACATGTATATACGTGTGTAACAAGATCCGGGCTATCAACACCTACACCCTGCCCGTGATCAGGTACCCAGCTGGTATAATAAGTTGGCCAAAGGAGGAGATAGAAGCCACTGACATCAAGACAAGGAAGCTCCTTGTTTCACCCCAAGTCCAGCACCCTGAGGCTGTACGCTAAGCGGATGGAAGGAGGCTGGGGACTGGTGAGTGTCAGCACCACAGTCCAGGATGAGACGACGAACATCCACGAATACATCACGAAGATGGCCCCAACTGACAGCGTGCTCAGTGAATACCTCAGGCAGCAGAAACCCAAGAAAGAGAAGGATGGCGAGGAACCATCATGGAAGGACAGGCCCCTGCACAGTATGTACCACCGGCAGATAGAGGAGGTGGCTGATATCCAGAAATCCTACC